GCCCCCTCCCTCTCTCTCCCTCTCTCTCTCTCTCTCTCCCTCTCCCCTACCCACACATTTTTCGCTCTACCCACCTGCCATGCATTCTCCCCTCCATCTCACTTTTCCACTCTTTCATCCACATAGCAAATCCAACAAAACCTGAAACATCACGGGCCAGCACTGGTATGGGGTAGGGGTATCCCAGCTAGCCAGAGCAGGACAAACTCAGGGCCCAGCTATTCATCCTTCCTCCCATGAACTCCATAGCAGCTAAGCTGATTGGAGATCAGAATGCCTGAGACTCCAACAGTGAGTGAATCACAGGACCATAAATCTAGGAACTGATGCATAGGCTTCATAATAACAGGGGGACGTTTGGGGGCAGCAGTGAGTCACACTCCAGTTAAGTACAGAGAAAGGTTTGACTCACACCTATCTATCTCCCTTTAACATCCATCCTCGGAGAGTTTCATAAAGTAAGGTGAATGGGATGAAACCTGAGCAGCTCAATGTAGAGTAATTAATTATGTCTTGACTCAATTACAATCACTAATTGATGGAACTGATGCCTGAGGCAGTCATGTGCACAATGTCAGTTGGAGTTTGGGTCCCCAGAGGCCTCCTCATTCAGTGTTGGCCAGGATCTAAACAAACTTCCCTCACATCTCCTGGCTGAAGATCTCAGAGGGGATGCACTGTGTGACCAAGTGGTCTGCATAGGCCCTGGGCCAGACTGACAGACTCCAAAGAGATAGGTACCACCCGCTGCTGGAGACAGGGATTAGAAGCCCTGCGGGGAAGCGTTATCTTAGTCCTCGCATTACTGAAAATCCTCACACCCCAGGGTCATATCAATGTTTTAGGACAATATAATACCAGGAGTCCAGAGCAGGCCCAGTGAACAAGGATACCCAGGAGGGTATGTGTGACTGAGGTGGATGTATCAATCACGAGGCTTGTCTTGTACCTGTTCAAACCCTAGACACAGGTGTAGATAGAGCCATAAGGGGCAAGCTCATGCTCACTCTGGAACTCCAAATTGAAGGCTTTGTTCCCAGCAGGTACCTTATTGGCAAACTCCCTGGACCTTCTGGCTGAACGTGTCCTTCCCTCCCCTTCCCTCATCCAGGCCTCTCTCTTGTGGTGGGCCTAGTGCTGTACATCTCCAGCATCAATGACGAGATGCTCAACAGAACCAAGGATGCAGAGACCTATTTCAACTACAAATACGGATGGTCATTTGCCTTTGCTGCCATCTCCTTCCTTTTAACAGAGGTAACCTACCCCATACTGTCCTGTGCCAGGTTGGTACTGCCCTACCTGGAAGGGAGGAGGGAAACATCCCACATCATCCGGGACCACCTACTCCACCACTCTTCCCCCGAATGTACCTCTCCTTGACTTTCCTGGGTCTCTTCTATCCTGGAGGTTCCCAGAGTCCACTCCTGTCCGCATGTACACTGGCCATCCCCCTGGAGAGGCTGTGTTCCAGGAAAACACACAGCTGGGGCATTACAAGACAACCCTCTCCCCACCAGTGAGCTCTCCTCTGCTTCTCTTTCACTGTAGAGTGCTGGGGTAATGTCTGTGTACCTGTTCATGAAGAGGTATACAGCCGAAGATATGTACAGACCTCATCCAGGCTTCTACCGGCCACGCCTGAGCAACTGTTCCGATTACTCTGGCCAGTTTCTACACCCAGATGCCTGGATCCGGGGCCGCAGCCCCTCGGACATCTCCAGCGATGCCTCCCTGCAGATGAACAGCAACTACCCAGCTTTGCTCAAGTGCCCAGACTACGACCAGATGTCGTCATCCCCCTGCTGAGCCCTGGTCTCCTTCCCACCTGAACTTTGGATGGCTGGTCAGCCTTTCCCTCTCCCCCTGAGACGAGACCCAGGCCATTCCCTGCTTAGCCGTTGTTACTTGACCACATCCTCTCTCCCTGCTCCCAGAGTAGCCCTTCCTTCAATGGGCATCAGAGCCTGGAGTCATAGTCATGCTGATTGGCTGAGGGCATGGATGAAGTCCCTCTTCTAGAGTGCCAATCATAGCCATGGGCCCCTGGGAAGCCAGCAGCACCGCTTGCTGTGCTGTGTCTGAAGATGCCTATGTTCTAGTCATATATTATTCCTGCATTCCTGGGTCAGCCAACGCCAGGTTGGAGTTGCCGAGTTTCTGATATAGACAAAGCCAGACTTGAACACTTGCCAACCAGCTCGGCTCTCCATCCGTGATCTATGCTGTGAGGCCAAAAGGCTATTCTGCTCCAGCGGTCTGGCTGGCTCAGAAACCCCAAGCAAACAGTTCCTTACAAGATGCTCTATCCTTTTATGTCATCTGCCTCCCTCCACAAAACATGTCTCTCTGTGTGACACTGCCCCCAAGACCCTGGACTTTCTGTCTTTTATCCTTCCAGAATGCAGCTGCCCTGGTCAAGGACTATAAGGTAAGTGTTCAGTGGTGCCAATGAAGTCACAAAGGTGTTAACGACTGAAGATGTCTTAATACACACGGCCCCTTGATAAGGCATTTCACAGGGGCTTTTGATGCCTTAACCCAAAGAAGTGACTGATGAGGAGAATTCAAGAGTTTGATGGTTCTGCGTTCAGAGTTCCAAGCACTGTGTCCAACTCTGGCGGCATTGTCCCTGACTTCAAGCACCATGTTTCCATCCAAGACTCTAAGGTCTAATCGTGCAAAGGACACCGTAGCTGCCAGCCAGGTTTGACGACACAGTGCATTTTGAGTCCAAACAAGCCAGATTCCAGATGATCCAGCTGCCTTGCCAAGGATGCCTGTGAACATTTGGGGGTTGCCAATTTAATCCAAATAGGGAGAAGCATCTGCTTCCCAGTTATGTGACATATGTGGGCAAATCACACGCCTCCAGAAGGCCAGACAATGTGACAACTGCTTTCCTGATGGGGAAGCTTGGGAGGCTACAAGCCACTTCCGAGAAGTCCATAAACCCCCCATAGTTCTCCAGGTGTTGGCTCAGCTTGACCATTGTTCATTCTGAGAATTTTGAGAGGCAAGCCAATGTGGCACTCTCTTTGCTGTGTATTTTTGCTGTGCCTACTTTTGCCTCCCTCTCTTTAAGATGCCAAATGTCCCTGGACACACAAAGCCACAGTGGGTAACTTGCAGGCTCTGGCAAGTGGCACAGGAAACCACACAGCTGGTGCCTATAAGAAGGGCACTGACTCAGTCAGCTTGGAGGAGGCCATAAGTTCAAGATCAAGTTGTCAGAGAACTGATCCGTGGGACACTTCCTCCTGGCTTAGAGATGGCCACCTTCTTGCTCTGTGCCCATGTGCCTCTGAGACTTTTATTTTTTGGTATCCAAATTACCTCTCAAAAGGACACCAGGGGCTGGGGATATTTACTCAGTTGGTAGAGTGCTTGTCTAACATGCATGAGGCCCTGGATTCAACCCCTAACACTATAGAATCCAGATGTGGTGGCACACATCTGTAGTCCTGACACTTGGGATGTAGAGACAGAAGTTCAAGATCACTCTCACCTTCATATCTAGTTTCAGACCAGCATGGGCTACATGAGACTCTGACTCAAAGAAATATAAAGACGTCAACTATGGGTTACAACTCATTCCAATAAATTTGATGTTCACTATTAGTATAATCATTTAAATGCCCATGTACAAAATTCATTCACATTCTGAGGTACTGGAGATAGAGTCTCAGAGTACAAATTAGGGAGAGGGTACAGCTCAGCCCCTCATATGCAGGTTGCTTTGTAACAGATAACTCCATTGGTTTCACAGCGCAATGGAAGGGAAAGACAAGAGAAGCGAATTTCACACCCTCGGTTCAGTCACTGACTCACTGTGAATCCTTGGGCAACCCCTTCTACTCTGAGAAGCTCAGCTGAAATTGTTTCCAAGCCCACTCTCCACACCCACACCCCTAATGATTTGGTCCACATTGTTCTTGTATGCCAAATTCCATATCTGCCTGTGGACTGAGAGCGACTGGCAGACCCCAGCTTCCCACTCCATGGCGCCTCACAGTGATCATGCACTTCCGTTGCTGTTTGCAAGAGTCTGTTTGAAAATGACTAAGTGGGATTTTCAAGCTGGACCAATGTTTAGACAGGCTTGATTCCAATTTTTGTCAACGTTATTAACACCTAAGATGCACTTTTCTCACTCTAAAACACTTTCTTTGTCACTGTGCCAGGCTTGTGTTTTGTACACATGGGGAAAAAAATAGAATTTACTCCTAAATGAAAGCTGACTGTTGACCATGGTATTGTTAGAGCAGGCCATCCCCATCCTGAGGCTGAGGTGTCAAGTCAAGGGGGGCAGGAGGATCCTACCCTGGAACGGGCCCTGTGCACTTCCCTAGCAGTGGGTCTGGGTCTCTTCTCCTGTAAGGGTATGGGTGAATGTATCAACGCATTAGCACCATCGTAATTTCCTTTCCATCTGTAAACTGAGTTCAGAAACTATTCATAGCCTTGTTCAAAAGATTTTTACTCACACATGTACTATATAAACCCAGCTCTTGCCACTTCCTGCTTGTGCTTTCTGGAGTGGACTTTATCCTTGGGTCAGCAGCAAGAATATCACATAAAATATGATATGGGAGATGATGCAGGGGTAACCCTTCTTTTGTCACCCCTTGAGACAAAAACAGCATCCCTAGAACAAGCCCTGCAGACTCACCCCATGTGTCCCTGGCCAATTCAGGGTCACATACCCATGCCTGGACCACCCTTTGGCCAGGGAAATAGGATGACCATTAGTATAGAAAGAATTATCCCCTGAAGACTTAAGAGGACAGCAGCCATGTCATGACAATCTGAAGGGGTTGGCCGGTCCCAGCAAGGTGCTTCCTGTTCAGAGTCTCATGGAAAGTTGAATTTGAGCAGTGACTATTATTTCAAAGACTCCCTTGTCCCCTTGTCTGGCCTCTGGGGTCCACTGGCAGTTGGGAGTTAAAGTTGTTAGCCGGAACACCTCTGTACGGATGGGATTTCCTCCCAGCCCAATAGCTGGGAGCTAAAAAGGAGTATTCCAGGAGCCTTATTGCATGTTTTGAAGAATCCTTGGGAGTGACCCAAAGTCACTTTTATTGTAAATCGTCAAAACACCCATATTGAAGTGTAGGAACATAGATCCTGCTACTTAAGAGTTGAGAAGCCAAGCCTCCACTGTAGGAAGAGAGTTGGCATCTACTGTAGTGACTACCTTGGAAATACAAGACATCACTTCATTATTGGCTTTGTCCATGTTCTCCCAGCCCCAAGATCCAGATGCTATTCTGGGGTGAGGGCTGTGTCTCTGACAAACTTCCAGATTGTGTCAAGGTCATTGCATACTCTAGGCTCCAAGGACGTGGTTCTAGACCCCTGAACACTTTTAAGTTCCTCAGAGAGTTCTGATCTCAGGATTAAGAACTTGGGCCTAGATCTGATGGAACTTACCATCAGAGATGAGGATAAAGCCACCTTCTCACTAGTTCTCTTGAGGACTACTGGCTTCTTACAAAATGCAAGCAAAAAAGGATAAAAGAGTGCAAGGTAGGCCAAGGTTCCAGTATCATCCTTGCTCCTTCTCAGCCTTTAGTGGCCTCACTTTCTCAGACTGTGCCTCTGAGCAAGGTGACAAGTTCATGGCCTTAAGCCCAGTACTTTGGCTCCAAAGCCATCCCTCAAACTGGCATCCATTAGGATGCAACAACAGCTTGCCCTTGAGGACCAGGATGGCAAGTGCTAAGCATTCCAGAGCCAAGCTGCTCTTCTTCCTGTGGCCAGAGCCAAAAATGGACACCCGGTCCTGAAGAAGAACAACAGATCTTCAAAGGTGACCTTGTAGTCTCAAAATGTCTATAGAATTTCAGCAGTCTTCATTGCTGGCTTTTGAATAATTCATTTTGCATTCATCCATCATTAATTAACTAGGCTTGAGGGCTTTGGGGCCATAAAGAGACCATGTATCACCATGTTCAGAGCGAATACCACTTCAGTCAGAATTTATTTTAAATCCACCCATATCTCCCACCCCATTTCAGATTCAGTGCAACCTGTGTGAGATCACTCTATAATCTATTGTTTATCAAAACTCAAACACGAGGGCTGGAGAGATGGCTCAGTGGTTAAGAGCAATTGCTGTTCTTGCAGAGGACCTGGATTTGGTACCTACCACCCACGTGATGGCTCACACTGATCTATAATTCAAGTTTCAGGGGATCCAATGCCATCTACTGATCTCCATGGGCACTGCACACATCTGGTGTACTTATATAGAGACAAAACACTCATTCATACATATAAAATATAAATAAATCTTTATTTAAAATTTCAAACACAGCAAAAATTGTGCAGTCTCCTCAGATTAAGTTGTCTGTTATTAAGAAAATAGTAAAGACAAAGTTAAGTCTGCCCTATGAGAGATTCCAAATGAGTGTCATCTAAGAAATCCACAGAAAGTCTTGATGCCCTGAATGTCAAGGTCAGCTCTCAGGCTTGGCATTCACCCAATAAAAAATTCACTTTTGTGAACTCAAATACAAGCTCTTGTCAGTTAAGATACTGTGACTTCAGCTTCCACTCCCACAGGAGGCATCATTAGACATTGTCATAAGAACACATTTCCAGCCTTCATTGAAGTGTATAATTCATAGTAGGTCTTTGTGAGCATGAGCTCACAAAGGCTTTGCTTAGCCTTCTTCATCCCATGAATGGAAGGATTGTGAGGCCTAAAGAAGTTTCTAAACAGATTTAGAAACCTGGTGGCTGGGAAGACAGCTCAATCAAGTACTTGTCAATCAAGTATGAGGATGTGAGTTTGATTCCCAGAA